TATATATATATATATATATATATATATATATATATATATATATATATATATATATATATATATATATATATATATATATATATATATATATATATATATATATATATATATATATATATATATATATATATATATATATATATATATATATATATATATATATATATATATATATATATATATATATATATATATATATATATATATATATATATATATATATATATATATATATATTTGCATTGTCAAATGCTGTCTTAATTCCAAAGGATGTATATATATTAGGGTGTTTCAAAAAAAGGTCATGTCTCTAAAATAAAGAGCCCTAGCATATCATCTGCCCAAATCGTGGTTTGGTACTAAAAAATTTTTAATTTTTCAATTTTTGAAAATCGTAAGGGTTCCTTCAGGGGGTAAAAGGGGCAATTTTTAGGGCGTTTTGCACCATTTTTAAAACTGTTTGATATTTTGACATTAAAATTTTTCATTTTTTTTTATATTTATGCTTGTTCAGATTTATTTAATCTAAATAAAATGCTCAACTCTTAACAAAAAATAAAAAAAAATTGTTTCAAAAAACCCTCAAATCCAAATATTTAGGAAAGCTCATAAAAATACAAAATATTCTTAAAACACATAAAAGTACATTATTTTTTTATTTATTTTTGATACAATACAATATTGATTTCTCACTTATAATCAGCTTCAGGAACTATTCTAGTAAATATATAAAAGAGGCTTGGACAGGGAAAGAAGGTAAAAAAAAAAAAAAAATGAAATTATAAAAAATTTCATTTCAATAGTAAAGTTTCATTTAAATTAAAAAAAAGCAAATCCAGTAAATTTATGAATTTTTTTATTTTTTCTCAAAGAAGTGATATTAACAAAAAAATATGAAACTAGACTATATTTATATTTGTACTAGTGGCTTTTTTGTAATCCATTTTATTCTTACCGTTGCTGTTTTTCTTGTAACTATTTGTAAAGAGAAAGGTATCCGGCCTTTTTTACTTCAAAATATGCTCTATTTATTAGGTCTTGAACTAACTTAACTGCTCTCTCAGAACAGTCATTAATAACATCAAGTCCCTTAACTGTTGCCCTAAGGTCTAGATAAAAATCATTGAATTTCCAAAATTCTTGTTTAGTCTTCATCCATTTAATTTCTGCCTTTTCATGCCTGAGCATGCCAAAAACTAGACACGACTTTTCTGTTATTAATGGTGTCAAAATAGGAGGCTTATCTTTACTGAAGTTGAGGCTATTTAAAATAGCTTGGTCCATTACCTGGCGCTCCATAGGAAAACTGTCACTTGGACATCTTTGTAAACTATACAGTTTTTTGTCCATATCACCACATTTCCTACATTCTTTATCTGCTAGAGCAAAAATTACTAAAAAAAGGATCTAGATACCAAGTATGTCTGGTTCTGGTATATGAAATTCAAACCTATTTGATGATAGAACCATTAAAGTAAGTTCAGATTATATATCCATGTTCCAGGTGGTATTATTGTTGGTTTTAGTTGGTTTTCTCGACCAGAAGTTTTGCTGCTTGGATAAATCTTCTAGAAATGGGCTATGTGTCGCTCAATTACATGTCTACATGCAATCAACAACAAGAGACGTTGAACTTGTTGAATTATTTTCAAGCAAGTACTTTGCCTTTTTCCTGTATTTACTGAAGTTGTGTCAAAACAGAGACATTTAACCTTATGTTTTAATCCAAAAAATTTTATCAATTCTACAATAGCTTGCTTTTGATTAACCCCTGAACAAGAATCTATCGAGGAATGCCAAGTAGTTCTGTTTTCACATCAATCTTTACCAAAACTGCAATTCTATCTTTTTTAAATTGCTTTCCCCATTGTTAATTGATTAATAATTTTTACATCAAAGTGTATAGTCATTAGTGAATCTGCTGATATTACAGTATTTTTTATGTGTTCTTTAATTTTTTTAACCCTGACAGATATTATTTTTTTTGCAGTTCTATAAGATGTAGATTTAGAACAATTAAAGTTTGCTATAGAACCACCAGCCATGACAATAACACTTGTAATCAATGCTGTATGAGCAGTTGACTGAAGAATATTTTTAGGAAGAAGAACAGAATTTTGAATATTAGAATGCGTATTAAAATCGAAGTCAACATCTGTTTCCTTGTCTAATTTGTTGCTAGTGTAACTAGAAGAAACTTTGATTATCTAAATCATTCTTATATAATTCTGCTGACGGATTTCTATTTAACTTTGATGTGCATCTTTTACTTCTTACTACAGAACACTCATATCTTTTATCTCTATCTCCAAGACATTATTTTTTTTCACTAAGCTAGTCTTTTAAGAAAGCCATATCTTCCTCTTTGTCTTTCACTTTTCTCATTTTATCTTTTAATATTTCTTCAAACATAACATGAGGATGTTCTCCAATCCAAAATACCTTTTCTTCATTTATATATATATATATATATATATATATATATATATATATATATATATATATATATATATATATATATATATATATATATATATATATATATATATATATATATATATATATATATATATATATATATATATATATATATATATATATATATATATATATATATATATATATATATATATATATATATATATATATATATATATATATATATATATATATAAATATTGTCTGATGAGTCTTTATTGATGAAACACAGTGTTAAATGTGAAAAAATTTTGCTAAGTGATTTTCTACTAATTTGTAATTGCTCTGTTCTTTTAAGAACATTGAGCACTCTTTTTGTAGAATACATTTAAATTGTTTAAATATATATATATATATATATATATATATATATATATATATATATATATATATATATATATATATATATATATATATATATATATATAATATATATTATGTATATATATATATATATATATATATATATATATATATATATATATATACATGTTGATTAAACTATTATCTGTATTTTAAATTAGTTTAACTTCAAATATTTTTATCAAAAGGTTTATCAAACAAAAAGTAACGATTGGGTAGTTATTGACACATGGTCTGAAAGTCAGAAGAGTGACTCGTTTGTTTTTACTGAAAAATTAGTTTCTGGTAAGTATACTGCTATGGCAACAGGGATCTATTATTTGTCTGCTAATGTTATTTTTAAAGACAGCAATGGACCAATTTATATTATGATAGCTGTCAATAATCAGTTATCAAAACGAACTGCTTTATATGCAACAAAAGGAAAACCATCAGTAGTTCAAGACAGTCTTAGTGTGTCTGGAGCCTTATTTATTAAAAAAGGTATAGTTATTTATTCATTGTTTGTTTTATTTTTTAGTTTATCATATTAGCTTTTCAATTTTTGTTAAATGCAATATTTATTGAAAAATATTTATTAATAAATCTGATTGCATGACATTAATTAGTTGTTATTGTCTGGTGCAATTGAGTTGATACTGACATCAGTTGCCAGATGTTCATTAGATTAATGCTAATATTTTCTTTAGATTCTTATGTTAATGTTTATGTTATGATTGAAAATGATAATAGCTGGTCCATAGATATTGATTCAACTTTTTCAATGGTGTTTCTTGGGTATCAGACAAATATTTTTGGTGTAACAACAGTTCTCACAAATAGTTTAGCTTACACTACATCTGGTTGGTTTAAGATTGGAAAATGGAAATCTCAAACTGCAGCAGGTCCATTTTTTGATTTTGGGGGAGGATTTAATCCAGACACTGGAGAGTAAGTAGCTAAAAATGTACATTTTTTTTTTTTTACTTTTGTTTTTAGATTAATTATACTTGTATTTTTATTTCTTTTTCAGTTTTGTTGCTCCTAAAGCAGGTTTTTACATTGTGAGTGCTGGAATAAAAATGGTTCAGGCAAGTGCAGTTGGTTCTACCTTTACTTTAAATGTTGCTGTTAATGGAAATCCATCTACTTTTCAATACCAAAATGGAATACAAGATTATCTTCAAAATGGTAATGTTGCACCTACTACAAAGTAAATACCTTTCTTGTGGTTTTGTTTTATTTATTGTTAAAATATTTTGAAAAAGCAAAGTTAAAATTATAAATTTTTTATGTACTTGTTACTAATATGTACAAATAATTTTGTTTTATCAGTTTTTAGTAAATTATGTTTTACTATTTAGTTTTTAGTAAGTTCTAATGTCTTCTATATTAGTTTTTAGTAAATTATAATGCTTTATTATTTAGTTTGTATACTATACTTTTTTTGGTCTTTTAAATAGTGATTTTTACTCATTGGTTGTGTCTGGTTTGGTATTAGTTAATGCAGGTGACAGCATTGCACTTTATATTCAATCTGTTGCTGATCCATCTTATACAATAAGTCAAGACAGCTTTATGTCAATCGTTTTTATTAGCTCTACTAATGATTTATATTCATCTGGAATGCAGTTAATGCTAGATCCAACACTTGATCAACAGCAGAGCGCTTCTGATTGGTCTAAAGTTAAATATTGGCAGAGCAACCGGGTGAGGACTGCAACTGGTGTTTTCAGCAGTGGTAAGTTTTCTTTTTCTTTTTTAAATTTTTTTAAATGAAAGAGTTAAAAAATTATTATTTTAATTTTAATTTAAATTATTATTATAGTTTTTTTAATTCATTTTTAAAAAAATTTAAATATTTTGTGTTTAGTAAATAAAAACTAAATATTTTGTGTTTAGGAAATCTTCTAAAACTAGATTCAGTCATGGGTACAGTAACAGTTCAAGAGACAGGAATTTATTATATTTTTGTAAATCTTGCTATTGCTCCTGATTTGAATAATTATCAAATAGGTTTTTTTTATTTAATTTTTTAAAAGTCAATATAAATCTGTAGTTTTTAAAATTACCAATGATTTATTAACTAAAACTATTAAATATTGGTAATATAAAAATTGGTAATACTACTTTCAAAATTTTTTATAATAATATAAAGTTTATTTCTTCTATTTTAAAAATTTTTATAATGGTAATAAATAATTAAATTAAAAATTTTAATAGCTGTTTTCACAACATTAACGTCTGTCACATCACTAATAACAAGATTTAGTGATAAAGATCATCCTCAATACACAATGAAGATTTACGGTGCTTTATACCTGTATAAAGGTCAGGAGCTATCGATTAGGGTATTCTTAAATTCTTTTTAGTTATTATTTCTGGTTTATTCATTCATTTTTAATAAAATTAATAACTTGACATTGTTTTTTTTTAATATTTAAATACTAAACTTTTTATGACTTGTGTTTATTCACTTTTTAAATAAATTAAACATGTTTTGAATTTTTTTTTACATATTATCTAATTGTTTAATTTTGATGTTACCTAATTGTTTTATTTACTTTAGGTTAAACCCTCAGCTTCAAATGCACAATGGGAAAATCTCCGCTCTTACAGTGGCTGGTCATTTTTCAGAATACCACCTTATTTGCCAATTCCGTCTGTTGGAACAGGCAAACCTATTGATTTACTTCCATTTATAAAACCTGGGTAAAAAAGTTTTTTATTTTACTGTTATTAATTTATAAATTTATATGGTTATATATAATACACATAATGTTATAAATTTGTTTTTTATAAAATCTATATTATCTGTTGTTAATTTTAAATGTTTTAAGTTTATTTAATTAAATTCTAAGTTATGTTAATAATTTTCAACACTGTCCCTGCATAAGAATGGCTTGATAAGGTTACATTATACTCTAAGCATGCAAAAGCCAATAATCTTTAAAACTGTAATATGTTTTCATAAAATAATAAAATTATTAGATATTTTTGTAAATAATTCAATTTTTACTCAGTAATCAATTTATACTCAGTATTACTCAGCATATAACTTAACTAATCCCTGTTGTTGTTATTTTAAAAGAAATTATTATTTTTCAGGTATTATACAAGACTAAGAAATTGGAATGTTATAATGTCTACTGTTCTTGGTGTTGATGGAGAAGGTCTTAACCAAAGGGATGGAGTATATACTGTTTTTTTAGATGGAGTGTATTTAGTATCAAGTACTTTAGTTATTAAAACAAACGAAAGTCAAGTTTCCATTGGGTTTGATATTATTTTTTTGTTCTTTATATTTTTTTGTTTAACAGATTTCTGTTGATGAATCCAAAAATTAAGAAATATGAAATCTAACTAAAAAGATAAAGAAAACTTTGTACAATAGTTTATTAAAGGATGGATAAAGAAAAGAGAGATAACAGAGATAAATAAAAGTATGATGATTAATGTAAGAATTAATATAATATAAAAAAAGAGAGATAGGAGTGTTGAATAAAAAAGCCTTGATAAATAAAAGGGGTAAAGAAAAGAGATATGAAAGAGATGAATAAAATAAGAAGTTGAAGAAGGTTTCACCAGCTTGACTTTAAATAGTTCTATTAAATTGAATTGAAAGGCTTTTTGTACTTGAGATGTTACAATTTTCTAGGAGTTCAGATATTTGTTGTTTCCATTTTTTTGACTGTTGGATGAAAATTTGGATTTTTGAGGTCAAGGAATAATCACCACGACTACTGTTTTTATAAATAAAATAATGATGCATTATAGATTTAAAATAACTTTCTATTAAATTTTTTTTTCTTTAAGAATAAAGATTGGTATCAATGCAGACTTAAGTGATTTTTCAGTGGTTAAATCTGGTATTGGTCCTTCATATTTATATCCTGTATGTTCTGGTATTTGTACTATTTCAATAACACAAGCAGTGCAACTTTTAGTTGGTCACACTGTTGCAATTTTTGTCCAATCAAATGCATTGACAACATATTTTTCTGAGTTAAGCGTGTTTAGTCTAAAGCTTATTAACCCTCTGAGATCTTTAGACGGTTTCTCATGTCAGTTATCATCTGAAATACTGATAAGTTCTTCAGGAGATCAAAAAATAGTGGGATGGTCTGCTGTAGAGTCAATACATTACACAAACTTTACCCAAGCGAATGAATATATTATTTCTAAAGGTGGTGTATATTTAGCTGCATTTAATATGGATCTTATAAATGTTTATGGCTTTGTCAGTATTAAACAAAATTTGGGTACATCTTTAATTAACCTTTTTGAGTACTACAATGAAGGATTGTTACCATTTAGTCTATCATCTACTACTGTAGTTTCTTTAAATGTTGGAGATGTGTACTCATTAAAAATTAATACTTTGACTGATAATTCGTATTCTATTGGTAAGCCGTCATCAACTTCATTAACATTCATTGGCGATGATACTTATGGATTTTCTGCAGTGCAGTCTAGAATTAATAGTAATTTTTACAATCAAAGCAAATGGTATCCCATTAATGGCTGGATTACAAATGGAAGTTCTTGGTTATTTGAATATGGTCGGGGGTTTCTTTCTAGACAAGATTATATTGTTGAAAAATCTGGATTTTACTTTATTACAGCAAATATAATATTTGATAAAGCTCAATATGAAAACATTTTGGAAATGGTTGTTGTTCTTAATAAAGTTGACACAGTTTTGTATGATCAAAAAATACTATCTTTAAAATCATCCACAACATCAACGGTTCGTGGAGGAGTTTTTTTAAACAATTTAGATTATTTACAACTTCTAATAAGACTTAATACTAACAATGATAATTTAATAATCAAAAGAGAGTCATCATTTTCAATTGTTCGAATTGGTAAGTACAAACTTTTATATTAAATTTTTTTTGTTTGAGTAGGTAAGGACAAGTTTTATGTCAAAAATAAATTTCACTTTTCTTTGACAGAGAAAAGTGTATAAAGGTGGATTAACATAAAGGTTTTTAAAAGACAATTGCAATTATGAAATCTCATGAACCTGTTATTTATGTATATATATTACTGTTATTTATATATATATATATACATAAATATATATATATATATATATATATATATATATATTATTTATATATATATATATATATATATATATATATATATATATATATATATATATATATATATATATATATATATATAATATATATATATATATATATATATATATAGTATATTTATATAATATATATATAAGTATATATATATATATATATATATATATATATATATATATATATATATATATATATATATATATATATATATATATATATATATATATATATATATATATATATATATATATATATATATATATATATATATATATATATATATATATATATATATATATATATATATATATATATATATATATATATATACACTTGTATGTACAAAATTTGCCTAATAAAGAAAAAATTGTTTCAGGATTTGATACCCTTTCAACAACTTGTGTTGATAATGGACCTAATATTCTTGAAAATCTGTCTCACAAAAATGCGCGACTGAGTCAGGGTGATAACTTGAATTTGGAAATTTCTGCTACTGGAAGTAATTTGACTTATCAATGGCTGAAAAACTTTGAGGTAAATAATTTTTTAAAGTTATGCTTTTGAATGCGCAATTCCCTCCCCCCCCCCCCTAAAGTTATGCAAAATGAAATATTTTATGTTTATTCCAATCAATTTGCTTTTTAATGGCAATTCTCTAGGTCAGGTCAGGAGTATGGTCTTCATGATCATCCTGCTACTGGTAACATGTAACCCAGTGCAACCTGTTCCATGTTCTGCTGCCTTGCAGGATTTGCTATCTAAGCAAAGGCTGGAAGGAGTGTTCTTCCTGTCATCAGTACTATCTTATATCAGTCATGCCTATAGTAATTTTTTTTTTTTTTTTTTCATATAGTTGGAGGTGCCTTAGTTACTGTATTAGCTCACCTGTAATCTACGTTATATGTATGTTTGTGTTCTGTCTGAACCTCTGGCGCGGTGTTTGCTCACCCGTAAGTTACTTTATGTTCTTTATGTATGTCTGTGTTCTGTCTGAACCTCTGGTGCAGTGTTCGCTCACCCGTAAGTTACTTTATGTTTATGTTTATGTTTTTTATGTTTTTTTTATGTATGTTTGTGTTCTGTCTGAACCTCTGGCGCGGTGTTTGCTCACCCGTAAGTTACTTTATGTTTTTTATGTATTTTTGTGTTCTGTCTGAACCTCTAGCGCGGTGTTGACTCACCCGTAAGTTGATTTATGTTTGTTTGTGTTCTGTTTATACTCTAATGCAGCGTGAGCTCAGTAACTAACTACTTACTCCAACTACAAAACCTACACTCACCTTAGACTCCTGTATTTTGTTAGATGCAGTGTTTTTCCTAATGCACTTCCAAAATGTCATGCCTGGTTTTCTCAAAGTACTGTTGCGGGAAGTAACTCCTTTTAACTACTCCAGGTCAGGTCAGGATAATTGAGATCAATCTTGCTACTGGTATCACGTAACCCAGTACCACCTGCCACAAGCTCTGCTGCCTTGCAGAGTGTGCTCTTCTTATGCAAAGGCTAGGAGAAATAAACTCCGACTAAAAATTCCCCTGCCTTGGGGCTCTTGGTTGAGTAAAGGCTAGAGATGGTGTCTTGATAAAAACACTCATCTTGGGCAGATGTTAACTGCATCCAGCTAAACATCCCCTGCCTTGGGGCTCTTGATTGAGTAAAGGCTAGAGATGGTGTCTCGATAAAAATACTCATCTTGGGCAGATGTTAACTGCATCCTGCTACTGTCTTGTAGAAGGCCTCTTAGGCAAAGACTTTAGGGGTAAGCAGAAAAAATCTGCTAACCAGCCTCGAACCCCTTCTTCATCTATTAGGCTGGCGTAGATGTAACCTGTGTTACATTGTTTCCTGTCTAGGATGATGAATGCTGGATCTCCTTGACTCTACTCATAGATTTTTGCTTATGCCTCCTTGATAATGGCTATGCAACTCTTCCTGTTATCTCCATATGAGGGTACAGCTCTAAAACTCAGTTTAATGGTTCTGAGGCCGGCTGGTAGTAAGGTTTCCCGAACTCTGTGGTAGCTCTCAGAGAGGCTGATTCCATTAACAGCTGCAAAATATCAGAGTATTAACAGTGCCATGTTGCGCATGGATGGTGTCCCTGTTAATGCTTTTGGTGTGCATTGTCAAGGCCACATAAGGAGCCCTATGTCACGGCTTAGGGTTAATTAACAGGACTGAGACAACTGCATAGCTCATTGATTAGGAGGCTGTGCTCTATCTATGAATGAGTCTAGTTCTCAATAAACCCAAATCATGACCAAAGTAACCAAAAATTTAAAACCTAAAAAACCATCCCCACCACCTAAATATTTTAATATATCTTTTACAAATATTCGCGGTCTACGAAGCAACTTTCCATCAGTTGAGTCTTACCTCTTGCAAATTTCACCAGACTTGCTTGCACTCAGTGAAACAAATTTAAGTTCTGCAATTCCTTCTTCAGATGTCAGTGTTGATGGGTACTATCCTTTGATTCGTAAAGACTCCAATAGTCACATGCTAGGTTTAGGGGTATACATACGCATTAATTCCCCTATTTGTCCTGAAATCAGGTTCGAATCCTTTGACCATTCTTTTATGTGCTTTTGCCTAGCACCTCTTCACTCTATCACCTTTCTCTTTGTTCTTTATCGTTCTCCTTCTTCCCATGATTGCACTCTTTTAGATGTTATCTCTGATCAAATTGACCATGCCCTCTCTCTTTACCCCTCTGCCAATATTGTTGTTGTTGGTGATTTTAATGCCCATCACACTGAATAGGTTGGCTCTAACACCACTGATCCTGCTGGCACTAAAGCCTTTAACTTCTGCGTTTCTCAATCTCTTACTCAGATAGTTAACTTTGTGACTCGTTTTCCTGACAACCCTAATCATTTACCTTCACTCCTTGACTTATGTCTTGTCTCTGACCCTAGCTTATGTTCAGTTTCTCCCTTTTCTCCCTTAGGTGGTTCTGACCATGCAATGATCTCTATAAATCTTTCTTCTCGTACTTCTTTTTTGGGCTCACCTTATCATCGCACCACCTACTACTACCCTAAAGCTGACTGGGATTCCTTTCATGATTTTCTTTGTGATGGTCCTTGGGCTGATGTTTTTTCTCTCTCAGCTGACAAATGCGCCTTCTACGTAACCTCCTGGTTTCAGGCTGGAATGGAAGCTTTTATTCCTTCTCGTCGGTTTCAAGTCAAGCCTCATTCTACTCCATGGTTTTCTCCTTCTTGTGCGGCTGCTATATCCAATCGTAATCATTTTTTTCATCTTTTTCAAAAGAACAACTCTCTTGAGAACAAACAGCTATTTATTATTGCAAGAAATCGATGTAAAAAGGTGCTTTCTGATGCTAAAATCCATTATTCTCAGTTCACTAAATCTCGCATCTTATCGCAGAAGTTAGGCTCTAAAGACTTTTGGAAAATTTTCAACAGCATTGTTAACAAGGGTAGATCTAACATTCCATCTCTCATTCATGGGACTAATCTTATTACCTCTCCCAAGGATAAGGCAGAACTATTTGCAAAGAACTTTTCTTTTAATTCCACTCTTGAATCTTATGAACATTCTCTTCCTTCCATTCCAGTCAAATAGGTTGACCCATTGTTAGACATTCAAATCACTCCGGCTTCTGTTGCTAAAGTCATATCTCAATTAAACTCGTCTACAGCTTGTGGTCCAGACAACATTCCTGTCACAGTCTTGCAGAATTGTTCTCCAGAACTTTCTTCAATTCTCTCTAAACTATTTAACAAGTTAAATGTTAAATATATAAATATATTAAATATATTAAATGTTAAATATATATATATATATATATATATATATATATATATATATATATATATATATATATATATATATATATATATATAATTTAATGTTATGAAATATTAGTTGACCCAAGACAGGTTTTCTGTAAAAGCCACAAAAAACAGAAAAGTGATCCCAAATCATTAGCAATATTTAAACATTAATATTTTTATTCCGTTTAATGTAAATATTTATTTTAAAAAAAAAGATAGGTCTTTTATATTTTTTTTATTTGAAGATGAAAGCGCTTATAGGAAAAAAACACTTTTATTTTAAAGTTAGTGCATTTCTAAACTTTTTTTTTTGATAAACACAAAAATAATTGTGACGCCAAGCTCGCTTTTATATTGAGTGAAACAGCCGTGATATATATATATATAATTTTTTTTTTTTTGTTATTTACCTCCTCAAGGCCGAGAAGGCCACTACAGACAAGGAGGCTACTTAATAGTGGTTGTAACCCACTCTCAACTCTATAACTCTGAAACACAAACTTTGACGAACAAGGCCGCTCCGCAGAGAAACAAGTTGAGTATATATATATATACATGTATATACATATATATATGTATATACATATATATATATATATATATATATATATATATATATATATATATATATATATATATATATATATATATATATATATATATATATATATATATATATATATATATATATATATATATATATATATATATATATATATAGTATATATATATATATATATATATATATATATATATATATATATATATATATATATATATATATATATAAATGCTTTTGCATTTAATGTTTAACTTAAATTAAAAGGTAAAATAAAAATATTAAATATAAATCTAGGTAAATTTTGATAAATTTGAATTTGAGAATAATTATTTTAGAATCTGTAAGTATGTACAACCCTTGAAAAATGAGGTCAGCAATAAATTGCCAACTTCAAACTTTTAGCAGTCGGCATCTGCAAAAATGTTTGACAAAAGGGGAACCATAAAACAGAACAAGGCCGGCTTTTTTAAACAAGCTCAAGCACATTTAGGTCAGCAGTTAGGTCAGTCGAATGTTAATCCTAATTATCCTAGGCTGTATGTATATATACTTTTCGAATATTTGAGTCAAATTTAAGTTAAAGAAACTTTTCTCCTTTAGATGGTTCCATGCTAACATCTCTCTAAATCTTTTATCTCATACTTTTATACAATATCATTGCACTATTTACCACTCCCATATCTCCTAAGTAATCTTTTGAATCAAATTTGGAAATATAGCAAATATGGAAGCTTTTATTCCTACTTATTGGTTTTTCAAAAAAAATCTATAGAAGTGATAATAATAATAAAAAGTATTTATTGTAGTGATAAATGGTAAAAAAGTAGGCGTGATAAAAAATCTATTGGAGTAATAAGAAAAAGATGTTGCAATTTTGAGGGGCATGATGAGAATTTCGTAAGTTTGTATGTAAAGTATGCAAAATGTATTTGAGAAGCCTGAAAAGGTTTCCACAACTTTTTAGAGGTGTTGTTGTTACCTTTATTATTGTCTTTTTACCTAAATTAAGGTTTTGTTATAATTGGAAATCATATGATTGGATGGCTCAATTTGATTGAATGGATTTTGATTATAAATTTAATTATACTTATAAATCTGGTTTATTTTTATTTTAGCCTTTAAAGGGAATGACTTCACAGGTTTTAAAAATGATAAATTTAAAAACTAGCGACAGTGGATCATATACTTGTGAAGTAATTCAAAATACGATAAGAGTGTCTAGCAGTATTGCAATAATAATTGTTTTTGGTAAGTATTGTCAATTTTTATAATATTAGTATTTTAAATCTCTCCAAAAAACAATTTTTACGTAAAAATTTGTGAAAGTTGGTTATGTTAAAAATATTATCTAAAATTTTTTTAGATCCGTATCCTGTATTTTTGAACCCTTCTTCTGATTATAGTTTAACAGTAATGGAGAATGGACCTAAAATTAAGAATCTTCTGATTATTTCAGCAAGAACGCAAAGTAATGAATCTAATTTTGAGGAAATGTTTTTTGATATTATATCAGGTAAACTTAAATTGTAAATCATATTTTGGTTTTATATAGTACACATTTAGGTGGTATGTGTAGACATTTTTAAAAAAACTTGTTTTTCTGACATTCTAATATATACTAATATATATATATATATATATATATATATATATATATATATATTATATATATATATATATATATATATATATATATATATATATATATATATATATATATATATATATATATATATGTATATATATATAAAATATATATATATATAATATATTTATAATATATTATATATATATATATAAATATATTATATATATATATAAAATATATATATATATATATATATAATATATTTATAAAACATAGTAAGTTATAAAAGTATTTGTATATAATTTTTAAAATTTAGGCAATGATCTTCAATACTTTCAACTGTTTCCAAACAGATCTTCAACAGGTACAACACTACAAAGAACTCAACAGTTAAATAGAGAAATGATAAAAAGCTTCCAATTAAAGATCAGAGCCTCTAATACATTAAACCCAAAATATAACACTGTTCAATTAATATGGATCACAGTTGTAGATGAAAATGATAATTCTCCTATATTTGATAAAACAAACTATAATACCTCTGTGTTAGAAGGATCTCCTATTGGAACAGTAATAGTTCAAATACATGCAATTGATCCTGATGAAGGTCGCAATTCAATTATTGTCTACTCTATTTTGCCCATTATTGATAGCAGATTGTTTGCAATTGATCAATATACTGGGATAATCACATTGACAGATAATCTTGATACAAATGTAAAATCAGCATACCTGATTATAGTTAAAGCTAATAATTTATTGGGTTCTTTAAACTCATCATATGCCCAAGTGTTCATCACCATAACTAATATAAATAAGTTTGAACCTTACTGGTTGAAGGATACATACAACGTTGATATATCAGAGTCAGTGACTCCAGACACACAGATACTACAGTTGCTGGCAGCTGATGAAGATTCTGGAACTAATGGATTAATAAAGTATGAAATTGTAAGTGGTAATGAAGCTAATTTATTTGATGTTAAGTTAACTGGCATGTTGGTAACAAAGGGTAAACTAAGTTATGATTTACAAAATATTTATCTAATAATAATTCATATTCAAGATGGTGGGTCACCTCCTAAGTCTGCTGTTAAAAATGCAACGGTAACAATTAATGTTCTTAACTCGAAAAGCAATAATCCAATATTTGAAAAATCTGAATATATTACAACTGTGATGGAAAATACTTCATATTTTGATCCACCATTTGTTGTGAAAACAGTTTAGACAAAAGTAATTTTTTTTTACTTTTTTTTCTATTCTAGAAAAAAAAAAAAAAAAATTTTTCAAGTTATGGTCTTATAAACAAATATATCTTTTTTTAATATAATTTAATTTATAAGAATATTCAATAAAAAAATAAAAATTATAATATATGGAATAGACGTCCTCAGGTATTTTATTTAACACGAACAAAGGACGTCTTATGGAGGACTACTGTCACTTAATTCAGTCATGCTGAATTAAGTGACAACAGTCACTTAATTCAGCATGACTGGAATAGACAGCGTCTATTCGATAAATGATTCAGCATCTGGAATAGACGTCCTCAGGTATTTTATTTAAGACGAACAAAGGACGTCTTATGGAGGACTACTGTCACTTAATTCAGTCATGCTGAATTAAGTGACAATACTCACTTAATTCAGCATCTATTTGGTCCAAAATTTGTGTGTAGTTTTGTGAAGCTAACTTAAGTATGACATTTTTGTATTTCTTTCTCAAACATGATATTGGTTTATAGTTGATCTAGTTATCTCTGTATCTCTGTACTTATTTTATCCATGTACCATGTATCCAATTTGACAATGAATCTTTATCTTTAATTAATAATTAGCTTTAAAAGTTTTTGTCATATGTTCTCAAAAGTAAGAGCTTTTTTAAGTTGCAATCAAAACAAAAACCTTTAATCACATTTTTCTTCAATTTTCATTGTCTAACATCATTAAGGTGTCGCTTAAATAATATAAGTTGTTACTAGTAATAATTACTAATTTATTGCTGGAAATATGTTTTAACTTAAATTCTTTTGGTATTCATATGTTTCTTTTTATCTATGTTTCTTCTTTTTTGTTTCTTTTTTTAGGACTAACAATAATGTATAGCATACCTCCCAACCAAAATGTTTCTGAAATATTTGATATTGGTATTTTAACAGGAATTATTTTACTCAAAAAGCCTCTTGATTATGAAAAAGCAACATTTTATAAGTTTATTGTCCAAGCTACTGCAGCCGGTACAAATGCTGCAGCAAATGCCAATATTCTTGTAAAAGTTCTTGATGCAAGCAACAAAGTTCCTTTTTTTGTGGATTCTTATAAAAGCATAAACATAGAGGTAAAAATAAGTGTTGGGAGCATAGTTTATAGAGTGTCAGCAGTTGATAAAGATTCAGGGATGAATGGAGTAATCGGATACAGAATTAAATCTGGAAACATTAAAAATATCTTTGAAATTGGTTCTACTACAGGTAATTTTTTTTTATTAAATCAGTGTTTCACAGGAAGATGTGGGATTGCACATCTTTATATGATCACTCAATTTTTGTTTTGCTGACTTGAACTTCTAAATAGTTTAATAATTTTCACGCATTTTAAATACGATGTTTAAAAAGCAAAAGTAAACTAAATAATAATGAAAATGAAAACCATAAACTGAAAAAGCCACAAAATTAAGGTTGTTTTTTTTTAATTTAAAAGTTTTGCTTAATAGACTTGGATAGTTATTTATTTTAACTGATTTATAAACTTACTTTTTTACTTTTGTTTATTTTCTCTTATATTAAGATTAGTTTTTTGTTTATTTTTATTATTTTTTTATTTATTCATCTTCCCAAATCCGAGAAGGCCACTACAGTTGAGGAGGCTACTTTTGTGGTTACAAAATCTCTTAATTCTGAAACGCAAACCTTGACAGCTGCGCAGGGAAAGATTATAGCAATAAATATTTATATACATAAAAATTTTCAGCTTAAGACAATTATCTCAAGCAAATATTTAAAAAAATAGTTATTAAATGTACTTTGAAAGTTCAGAGTTTGCAGTTAGATATCTGATCAAAATTCAATTTATTAGAACCATTCAATAACGAGAAAGCAACAAAGCAGTTGCCGTAGCTCGCTTCTTGACTCCACTCCACTAATGTTTTTTTTTTACATGAATACTTTATTTAAAGTAGCTTCTAAAGCTTCTCCAAGCTCATCACACAATCTATATTATTTTGAATAAATTTTACTGTAAGCACAGCAAAATTGAATTTTTTAAAAAAAAATATTTTTCTTAAAACAAGAAATGCATTCTTGTTTTAAGAAATAAATATCCTACCCTTTTAATTTTCAAAGAAATTTTTAAACTATGCTTATTAGATATACATTTTTGCTGTGATTTCTGATATATTGTTAGCAACTTTGAAAGATTTTAAAAGTTTTGGAATTCATTGTACCCAAAAGGTCTGAGGAAGTTTCATTTGAAGACATTTTTTCAAACTATGACTTAAAATATCAAATATTAACCCGTAGTCTGGTGAAATATACAATTCAAGATCTAGTGGCTGTTCTTTATCAACTTGCTTTCAGAAGGATTTCAGCTTTGATTTTATCTTTTTTTTTTTTATCTTTTCGGACCTACGTTTGTTTGTAAATACAGAACTTTTTACCATTTTTATATTGTGATCTTGGTCAAAAGATGCGTCCAACCAGCATTTTGAGAAATTCTAAGTTTAAGTAAAACATAGATACCCTAAAAATGCTGATTTGATTGCTGCTTCAATTTGTAATTTGATTCGGTACCAAAAAAGGTGATTTGCAGGACCATAGTTTAAAATGTGAAAAAAAGTCTATCTTTAGAAAAAAAAATTTTAAAGTCTATCTTTAGAAAAAAAAATTGATTATTTTCCTTGTATTTTACATCTGTTATTTTCTTTGTATTTTAAATCTGATTTTAAACCATTGTTTTAAACAATTTGTTACTTTATGACATAAATTATTCTTAAATAATAAGACTAAAATATCAAAACTTATGAAATTAAGTTTTACTTTAAAAATTGCAGAAACAAAAAAGTTGCAAGTTAAAAACGCAATTCCCTGGAGAGAGAAATTTATTCAGCCATTCTATTGATCTCTTTGAGTATTTTATTACTCAGAATAAAACCTGATTTTAGAGAAATGCAACTTAAATTTCATGAAAGTCGAGGCATATGAAACATTTTTGTTAGTTTTCACCTAATGGTCTGATTTTTTTCCAGTAGTTCACAATAATCTCTGCTCTTCTTAAAAGTCTATACGCAAATAATTTTAAAATTAGAAACTTATTCAGTTTCTTTTTGAAAAAAGATATTTTTAAGTGAAGCAGTTTTATCTTTACCTTACTATTTGTTAACCTTTTATGGTTTTATGATATAAATAGTTTATTCCCCAGTTTAACAATAATTAATTTTCAGCTATGGCTATATGAAACTTTCTGACATGATGGCAGGGGGTAACAAGAATAATGGTTGGCCAGGATAGTTAGCTAACCATGTACAAACTCCGTTTAAACACCCAGGGCTTGAAGTAGGTAAACTGTATGAGATAAAAAGCATGTAACTAATTTCTAATTGCTGTGTATTGGGCCTCAAGGCAATCGAGTTTAAAAATCACGTTTTTTATATTTCATTGTGTTTTTAAAATATCACCAGTTAACAAAATGAATAGTAATAAAAATGTGCACACTTGGTACAGATAAAAAACCTTCCATTAATTGTAATAGCGTTATTATCTAGTTAACGATTTGTAAAATTTGTAAACTTCTATTCACCCCGATTGTTTGAAAATGCGCGTAAAAACTCAAAAATTTTAAAAATCTTAGAGTGATGCGAGTCATCTAAAATAAAAAAAAATAAAAAAATTTCATTAGAAAACAATACCTTGGGATTATTTTACGACACTCCGCGTATTAAAATTTGTTCATGAGGGTCAAAATGGGATGGACGTTACTACCAGAGATGTGGTGGGGGTTGAACTTGGAACTTCTTGTTTATGTGGCAAGCGCTCTATTATCACACCACTACCGCATTTCAAGTTTATGGTTTTTGCTTTCATTTTTTTTTGTTTTGATTTTAGTCGCCATTTTTAAAATTATCAAACTAATTAAAAGCTGTGGCCAACTCAGCAAAACAAAAGTTGTACCTGTATGGTCATATAAAGATGTGCCATTGAACATCTTCCTGTGAAACTTTGTAAATATGTTTAAAGTTAATTTTTTATAAATGCAAATTCTTTTTAAAATTACAATTCAGGTGACATACGCATTAACAACTCATTGGATACAAACACTGAACGTTTTACCTTGTATATAGTTGCATTTTACATTGGCAGACCTTCTATAGAAAGTATACCGTTTATTCTGGACATTTATATTACAGGCGTGAGTGAGATTTGTTTTATTATTTTGCTGTAAAATTATTTGATTTTTTTCAGTAAAAATAAAATTAAAAATTGTAATGTAGTATTAAAAGTTCTTTTATTAAATTTAGTTTTTTTAATATATATATATTTTTATATATTTTGCAGTAAAATTATTTGATTTTTTTCAGTAAAAATAAAATTAAAAATTGTAATGTAGTTTTAAAAATTCTTTTATCAAATTTAGTTTTTTTTTTTAATATATATATTTTTATATATTTTTATAATATACCAAAAAAAAATTTTTTTAAATTAAAATAAATAAAATAGATAACTAACAAATTGTTGTTTCAAATTTTATTGTTAAATCAGTACCATAATTTAATAAAATGATAAACAAAAAATTTTAAGATATTGTTTTTTTCTTATTAGAAATTAGAAAAACAGCTTTAGGTAACATGGGGGTGTGTTAGTCCCAAAATGCAGGATTTTTCTAAAAAGGCCCAATTTTTTTTAATAAAGGAAATTATAAATGTAAAGTAAAAGTTTTTTCCAGTAAGAAGAACATTTTCAGTGAGAAGAACAACATTGCAAAACAAACATACATAACAAAAACAAGAAAATTTATACTTTTTTTTAAAATAAAAAACAATAAATAACAATAAGTTATAATGGTTGATAATTTATATAAGATAATAAAGATAAATTTTTACTTTGAAATAAAATTTTTTTAGTTTAACCTTTCACACCTTTTCAGTGAAATAACTAATATTATTATTTGAAGGTGAATGATCATATTATTATTTGAAGGTAACTGATATTTTAAACAAGTTTTAAGTTATAAATAAGTTAGTTTTTAGATTTTAATTTTTGACTTGAAACAGGATTGCTTTCCCTAAATAGTTGCTCCAAACTTTAGCTTTGAAGTTCAAGGGTAAACCCTTGACTTATTGTTTAAAATCCTGATTGATTTCCTTGAATAGCATAGTTGGAAGAATTTTGATCAAGAGCACGGGCTCTTACAACTTTCATGTTGTTTACCATAACTTTCAAGTTATGGTAAACAACAATTTATGTAGTGTCTGACATTATTATTAATCAAATGTTGTATGGTATTCAAATATTATAGACAAAGTAATGTTTTAAAATTATTCTCTATGTACACTTTACTTTACAACTTTACTGCTCAGAGTAGTTTGAGCATTTTAAGTACAGTTTTAAAGTAGATTTTTTTGTGGAAGAGATTTGTTTAAGAAACAAAAAGTTTTATTTGAATAATTTTGATTGGCTTAGCTTCCGTAATTTTACTTCTATGGTTAAACTGATAATTGATTAAAATTTAATTTTCAGATGTATATTTAGGTTAATCAACTTACGTTTTAATCAGTGTGTGTGTGTGTGGAAGGGAAGAGGGACATATTTAGTTTTTCTTAAGGTGAGCTTAAAGTGCCATCTTATATTAAAAATAGAAAAATTAATGATCTTAAAAACTATAAAGGCCCTACTCGTAAACAAGTATTTGAAATTTTCATGTATGAACAACCTTGTATTAATTCAAAATTTTGTAAAATCTTCAGGGTCACTCCTGCTGCTTTTTTCAAGAAAAGTTTCTAGATGCTTACAAGATTCTTAGATTGCTACAAGACAATGTGAAAGTTGTAAGAGCCTGTGCTCTTGATCAAATTCTTCAAACTATGCTAATCAAGGAAATCAATCAGGATTTTAAACAATAAGTCAAGGGTTTACCCTTGACTTATTGTTTAATTTAACCTTTTGATTTTACCCATTTGATTTACCCATTTGATTTACCCTTGAACTTTAAAGCTGAAGTTTGGAGCAACTACTTTAGAGAAATCAATCCTGTTTCAATTCAAAAATTAAAGATAAGCCAGTTATATCCTTGAACTTCAATATTGAATTTTGGAGTTTGTTGATATTAATGTTGCTTGAAATTGATGTTGCTTTATTACAATTTGAGCAACCTACTTCATTCTTTATTACCTAATGTAAGTTACAAACTATTTAAACTGCTAGAAAAGTTTCTCTCTGCCAAACAAGTCACAATTGGTGGAAAGAACTGTAAAACTTTTATCTGAAGCCTTTAAAAAAGTTTATGAAAGGGTGAAGAGGCGTAACTGCATGCTGATTAAAAACTAAAGCAGAATGGAAACCATGAGAAATGCAGCCATCACATCACAATTTTATCATCTTTTGTGTTTCAAACATATGTTAAAAATGACAAACATTTCTTTAAAATACCGTTTTTTGTTTCTTCCAATATGAGAAAAATAAAAAGTTGTTGTATTGCAGTAATTAATGTTAATAATTAGATATACCATGTGCAGGGCGCAAAGATATGAGACAACCTAAATCAAAATCAGAACTCTCTGTAAACACTTTTAAATAAAAAAGAATCTTGCAAAAAAAAAAAAAAATAGAATAATACTCTTTTCGAAAAAATTGAAGTGATTTCTTAAAATTGCCTTAGGTCCAAATTAGCTAATTTTTTTCAGAACCGGGTTTGTATATCTGTATCACGCAAGTTCCAAAGTAAGCCAATGTGTCCAGAAACAAAGTATGTTTAGACACTTAATCAGCATGCTCAAGTTTTACTAATACTAACTGTGACACTATTGTTATTAGTAGCTTTTTTTATGTTCTCACCGTAAGTTAAATTTTCGCATTAGAACTTGTGTTCATTTGGTCACTCCTAAAGAGAAATATTAATTTTATAAAATGATAGTGAAAGTAAAACTTTTATTTAAAATGACTGTTACATGAATTACAAAATTTTAAAACCAAAATTTTATTTGTCTATCCAAAAAACATGCATTCGATATAGTTTATATAAAAATTTAAATTTAATTGAATAGATTATTGGTTCTTCTTAGCTGCATTAGTTGCTTTTTATTTTATTTTAATAATATATATTTTTCAGCCTTATTAAAGAAGCGCTAATTGCATTAAAATTTAATTTATGAGTTGTATAAAAAATGCATTTTTTTATTGATTTTCTTCAAAGTTTCAAATCGACGTCGAAATCGAATCACCAAATATTTGAACCCTCACTCTTTGACGCTTTTTCATATTCATTTAATTAATTTTTTTTAAAAAGATTGTCGAAGGAGATTTTCGATGTAAATTCTAAATTTGAACAAGTTCTGTAGAAATTCGGCTTATAAATACATTGAGTTCTTTACAAATTTGCATAAAAATAAAACAGGTTTTCCTTTTTATCATCTTATATAAATAAAATGATGATATTTATTTAAAATAACAATATGAATAAATAAATTTTTTTTCTAAGTTAAACATATTTTTAATCTGTTTTATGTTATTTTAGGTAAAAAATATATTTTATATATGTATATTACTGGTTATTAAAAATTATAAACACAGCATTTATAATTAAATTTATTAATATAAAAATTATGTTCAAATTAATAAAATTAGTATATTTTTTTATAAGTTTTATTAAAAAGTTATTTTGTTTTAAAGTTTTATTAAGTTTTATATATAATTTTTTAATTTAATATTAATTTGATATTAATGTAAATTTAATATATTTAATAATAAGAAGAAAATGTATTTAATTTTTTATTTAATTATAGTTTAATATTAATATATGTATATAGAAAAATAATAATATTATATGTATAATATCACAATTTTGATTATTATTTTATTTTTTGTTTCTTATTTTTTTGTTTATTGTTATATTTCACATTTGATTTTTCTTTAGATCGTCTATCTAAAAGAATTAAAGGTTTTGATTTCAATTTTTTCTATGGATGTTTTTACGAAAGTCAATCGTCATTCACTGATGAAATAAAACTCAATTGTTGATAAACTAAATAAACAAAGTTTAGGTTGGATGATTTCGATTGAAGATGGAAAAACTTCTTACGCAACTTCTTGCGATAATTATTTCGTAAATTATTACATAAAATCTGGAAGAAAGTTAAAGTGGTTAGGTGTTAATAAAAATATTTTAAGTGATGAAGAAAAAAATCTTTTAATTCGATGTTCAACTAATGTTCGCATTGTCTGCTTAAATCGTCCAATTAATTTCGAAAGATGGAAACCGAAGAATAAGATTGAATGGTTGAGGATACACATCTCAGATTATTTAATAACAAAAAAAGATTTTGAATTCTTTCTACCTTGGATTAATCTTTGTGAAGAATTTTTAAGTCTTAAACTTCACGACGACATTGATTTCTTTAAAGACATTTGTGAATGGATTCGTTGTTCGAACATCAAGAAGTTTAAGATCGAGTACCGTGGAAAATATTTTCGTAACCTCGATGAATTAACTTAAAACGCGGCAAAATGTTTATTATTTTAAATATATTAAATAAAAATAATAATTATAAAATATTAAATAAAATATTTAATGTATTTTTAAAACTAATAAAAAATTAAACTATTTAATTATTTTTTTATAAATATATATGCTTTAAATATACGAAATAAATTAAATATATTTGATTCAAAAGAAAAAGTTTAATATTATATTAGAATATCATTCATATTTATAATTAATTATTTTTAAAATTAATTAATTAAAATAGTAATTATATAAACTATAAAATATATTTGTGCTACATAGTTTTTCATAATTATTATTTTTTTAACATTTTTAATAATAATAATAATAATAGTAATAACATTAAACTATAAATAATGATAATTGATATTAATCTTTGTTTAAATATGTAATAATTTTTTATATACTTTTTTTTTATATATTTTCATAATTATATTATGAATTTTGATCATTTTGATAATAATATTACAATAATTTTTTCTTTTGTTACTATAAATATTAAAATATAATTAATATCAAAAAGTATTTATTATATAAAAATACTAAAATTTGATTAAGTATATTTTCACGGTAATTGCCTTTTGAAAAACTTTTAAATTATCTTATTAAATTAATAATAAATATTTTTGAAGTTTAAAGTATTCGCCATTTTTTTTTTAAGATTTTCGTTGACAACGAAACAAAAAAAATTCGAAACTTTGCAGAATTTTTTTTTCGGAGTTATTTTGTTCGAAAGTTAAATTTTCGCATAACTTTTGCTTAATAGTAAATCAGACATTAAGTTTTATTTCGATTAAAATTTTTTATATAATAATTGTTTTTTAAAAAAAAAAAATTACTTAAAAAACAAAAACTTGAAAGTTTCTTATATTTTACTGCTAAAAGTCATATGGGCAAAACACATCGGTTTTTTTACAAATATAAAAATGCCTGAGCATTAAATAAGTGTAGGACAGTTGACAATTTCGCCTTAAGATAATAAATTTAATAATAATTTTAAGATTGATATATTTGATAATAACTTTAAGTAATAATTTAAGTAAATAAAAATGTTGGTACTTTTGCAGTAAAATTGTTGCGGATATTCAAACTTTTTTTACTGATAGTTCCGCTGGCTTTAGAATTACTTATATTGCTAAAAGTAATTCAAATATTAAAGCCAGCAAAATCGTTAGTATAAGAAAAGAGCAAAACCGCATTAATTTTACCGCAGGAGTATTGTCATTTTTTACTACTTAAATGGGACATAAGCTTTTAAAAGTCTATCTTTGTATAAATAGTCACGTCCTATTTCTTCTAGTACGTTTTTTATACAATGTTTAACCTGCACCAATCTATCATTTATTTGTATAAGGAAGTTCTATCAGGCTCTCCGTGGCTGGTATTTTTTAACTCTAAAAAAACTAACAGTTGTCACAACAATCAAGATCTTCCTAAAAATATGAACGGCAATGTACTCGATTAGTCATCTTCGTTTCGCCTTTAAGCAGTGGCGTAGCGACAAAAAATAGGCCTTCCCTTAAAATTTAAATCCTTAATTATTTCTCTCTCCCCCTCCCCCTCGAAACAAAAACAAAAAATTATACATAAAAACAAAAGGCCTTATTTTTAAATACAATTTTGATTTAAGTTAATTAAACAAGTATCTTTTTTATCAAAGACTTTGTAATTCTTAGGTTAAAAAATTTGGCTTCGGCCTCTAATAAGTCAGGGCCCTTTCACGGCTGCAGGCCCATCGCTACGTTTCTGCCTTTAAGATACAACTATTATTTCCGATTTTCTTGGAAACCACAAATCAAATCCATGGCAACATAAGCATCTGATAGGGTGGCATTTCTTTATCGTGCTCGGCACTTTCTTATTGAGGAATCTCAATAAATCTCAATGCCCTTTTTCTTTTAGATAAGGTGCACAAACGCATTGTAAACATAACTGGACCCGCTCTTGCAGCAATTTTTTGAATTAAATAAAAGTAGTTTAAAAAAAATTTATATAAGTCTTTACTTTAAGGTGGTAGTCCACCTTGAAACCTAAATCCTAGAATTTTGTATAAAAAAATCCAATTTTGGGCTGCAATATAAAAAACCTTACAAAACTAAGGAATTTAAATTTAAATTTTCAAATTCGGTTTTAGAACACTGTTTTTTGGTCCGCGGGACCAAAAAAAGGGCATTTACACTGCGATAAATAACTCAAGAACGATTAAAAAGACAGTTCTGGATTTTTTGTACATTATCTAATAAGGAAGTTGAATAGGCTGAATTAAGGGAAAAAATTTTTATTATAAACTTTTTGTTTAAATGATAATTCAAAATAACAGCAAAGTTTTGACCCAAAATACTGGTTTTAAGACCAATTAACTAAAGAACCAAAATAGTTAAAATAGATTTTTTTTTAATTCAGCTGATAGATTATATATAAAAGAACCAATGAACTAAATTTCAAATCCATAGCATTTAATTGAGAAAAGTTTCAAAAAAACCTTACTTTGAGAAAAACAAAAAAGAAATAGAAAACCCAACTGTTTTAGTCTAATTTAAGCCAAAAACTCACAAATTGCATTAACAAAGCATAATTTTTGAAAAACAAACTGTTTCAAATCATTTTTGGGTTTAAAAATGTTTTATTAAGACTTCAATGTTTAAAAACCACTATAAAAACAAGAAAAGAATGAAAATACATAAAGCAATAAATTAGTAAACTGTAAATTTGTAAAACGCTATATATAATAATGTAGAAAAAACTGTATAATAACGTAGAAAAAAATTATTTAAAAAAGACCAGTCTTATATACTATTCCTTCCATTTCTTCATTGGCATCTGCAAATCCTTTACGCTGAGCTTCTTTTTTTTTCCGTTTAAGCTTGATTTTCGGTGTAGACTTAAGATTCATATTAGCGACTCTTACAAAATCTTTATTCGTGCAAAATGTAAATTGCGTAAATTTTCCATTATACATATTTAGCATAGCAATTACATTTAAAACTCCATTGAGACACCAATTTCTAATGTGTAATGCGATGAGACACCAATTTTTAATGTGTCTCTAGCAACAAAAATATCATTCGGACATCTATTCCAAATAATTCCATTTAACGATTCATTGTTGTTTTGTGTTTGCCCATGCAAACACTTACTTAGTAAATCGTCATCACTTCCCAGTGGGCACACGACGTTATTTCGACGTTGATTTACAGTTGATTTTTAGCCGCGACGTCGTATAACCAAAAATCGACGTTGAATCAACACTGAAAAACTTGTTTAAAACTATCAAATAATATCGACGTTGATTCGACGTCTATATTTACCCTATCTTTTTATAAGGTTTTGAATTTGACAATTTAACAATAATACATGCCTTAACTTGTGATGCAGTTAGTTAGGTAAATATTAAATGGATATTTCTTTATGACCGTATTATTTCATGAGTGTGGATTACAAGTAGAGATTACTTGAATTATTTTTTCAGTTTTTTAAGTAAGTTTTTTTTTAGAGTTTGATTAAATTGTTTTACTATGTATGTTAGTATATTTGACAATAATAGTTTATATATATATATATATATATATATATATATATATATATATATATATATATATATATATATATATATATATATATATATATATATATATATATATATATATATATATATATATATATATATATATATATATATATATATATATATATATATATATATATATATATATAAATATATATATATAGGTACGCGGAAATCGCGATTTACGGAACCGATTTTTATGCTAAAATTTTGGTTCTCATTTTTTTCACTCTTTTTTAGGCAGCGTGAGACAGACGTAGTTTTAAGTAGTTTCTTTTTAGAAACATATATAGACATAGATACTTTTTGGAAAGAAGAAAAGTTAATCTTGATTTTTGAAATACTTTTATGTATGGTTACTAAACTTTATTATGGAATATTTTGCTCCTGAATATTAGGTTGATGCATTTTCTATGCACATACCAAATTTCAGCAAAAAATAATTATAAGCAATTAGTCTAATTAGTGTTATACCAAGTATACCACTTTTTTTAGGTAGCCCTAGGCAAACGATTTTTTGAGGTGGTTTTTTTTAGAAACATATATAAACCTTGACGACTTTTGAAAGAAGAAAGATTAGGCTTGATTTTTATAAACTATTGTGTATCGCTAACATACCTTTTTATGTAGTATTTTGCTGAGAATTTTGCATGGAAATTTGGCTATGTTGTAACATGAATTTGTAGTCGAAGAAATATAGAGTCTGCTTTTTTTATTATTAAAATAGTTTTCTTCATGCATTTTCTATGAACATGCCAAATTTCAACGAAAAATAATTATAAGCAATTAGTCTAATTAGTGTTGGACTTTAGGTACCTAATTTCGGTTTTTCTGTTGTTGTTTGTTTTGGTAAGCAAAATCCGGTAGGCGCCGAAATCCGGATAAGGAGGTGTTTCAACTAATAATCTTATTTTGAATTATTGTGATATATATTATTATATTTAAAAAAATATGGCAAATTATAGCAAAAATGTGTTAGATGTCCTAACAGAAAGTAAGTTTAATTTTTTTTATTCTCAATAATAGTATTAATAACTATTTTTAACTCCAAAAAATAATGATTAATGTAAAACCTTCAATGTTTTTTATGTAACATATTAAAAAAAATTAATGTTTAAGATTAAAACTGTTGGTATTCATTGAATAATTCAATAGTCACAGTTTTAATTTTTTTAAACACTAAAAAGTTTTTTTGTTAGGCTTACACTTATGCAGTATGTAGTTTACTCATTTATATGTGGTTTATAATAGCCTATTAAAACTGATTATCAATTGTTATATTCAGTTGACAATTTATTAAAACACCACATATAAACAATTATATTACATACTTCATTATGTTAATCTTAACAAAAAGCTTCTTATTGTTTTTAAAATATAACAAAAGAATTTCAAAAAGAAAAAAAAAAGTAAATCATTATTATTGTCTTTTATCATATTTGGATTACATACTTCTTTATCTATGGATTAGTGTTTAAATCATTATACAAGCATGTCTAATATTTACTTCTTGTTTAGATCCTGCCCGGCTTTTTAATGATTTTTTGAGATTTCGTAAGTATAAATCACATAAAGTTTAAATTTAATATTCACAAAGAGAAAAAGTATACAATAAGTAAATATTAACAAACATTTATAATATCTTCCTATCTATAGAAAGTCTTAAAAAACTAGAGTTAATTTTTTTACTTATTGTATATCATCTTTTTATGTGTTTATTGTTTACATAAGTTTATAACCATTCCTAATGTTAACTTGTTGCTTATAAATATATTATCTTTATATTTTAATAGTTATATTTAGTTGTTTATTTTCATTTTGTTAGTATAGTTGTTGCATCTTAAGTAGAAAACCTTTTAATTTTTGTACAGCTTTTAACATTTGTAACTTACTGTTAACAATTTCAAATTATTTTGTGCACAAATTTTTTGTTATTTTTAGTCGAATCTACACAGCCCATCACTGGTAAGATTTTATCCGTTTGTATATGCTAATGATTAAAGAGTTAGCTAGTACTTTTTATTCTGTAAATAAATTTCAAAGATTACCGATTTCAAAGTCCTTATTTGCAATATTTATTTTTTATTACAAATTTTGAATTTAAGTTACATCTTTGTCTTCAACAAATGGTAAATTTAACAATTATTACTTCTTAATATGTGTATATATTTTTGATGACTGCAGTATAAATTTTTTATTAAATAATTCTTAACCTAAGTTCCTTCTACATCTGCTATAAGAGGTATGTTAACTAATTTATACTTTTCAAAATGTTTATGCATATCTTGGCAATTACAGTATTTATTTTTAATCACAACTTTGATAATCTTTAGTTTTTTTTCAGTAATTATTTTTAATTACAACTTTGATAACATTTAGTTACATCTTCAGCACCTACTATAACTAGTAAGTTTAAAAACAATTATTTGCAAATGTTTACACACCTTTCTTATCAATTGCAAATTTTTATAGAAATTTTTTTTATTTTTAGTTCCATGTGTTCAACCTTCTGCTGGTAAATTTATGATTTAAAAATGTTTTTAAATGATTTTTTAATTTATGTTTATATTTATATACACTATTTAATGCATAAGTATTGTGTTATCCCTCAGAGTGCAGTAAAATAAAATTATTACTCTCATGAACATTTTTTACGCTATCATTGATTATTACGTTGTTCATGTTATTTATTCAGCCTATCACTTGTACAATTAATTGTTTTATATTACATTTTAAAGCAGCACAAAATTGACTACTGTTACATTTGTAACTACATTTACATTTGTTGACAATTTCAAATTATTTTGTGTACAATTTTTTTTTTATTTTTAGTTGAATCTACACAGCCTATCACAGGTGAGTTTGTATTAGTTTGTATATGCTAATAATTATAGAATCAGCTAGTACTTTTTGATCTGTGAATAGATTTCAAAGATTACCAGTTTCAAAGTCATTATTTGCAATATTTATTTTTTATTACAAATTTTGAATTTTAGCTACATTTACGTGTTCAACGAATGGTAAGTTTAACAGTTATTACTTCTTAATATGCGTATATATATTCCTGATAAATGCAATATAAATTTTTTATTAAATCATTTTTAACCTTAGTTCCTTCTACATCTGCTATTTGTGGTATGTTTACAAGTTTCTACTTTTTAATATGTTTATGCATATCTTGGCAATTACAGTATTTTATTTTTAATCACAACTTTGATAATCTTTAGTTACATCTTCTGCGCCTTCTATGACTCGTAAGTTTAAAAACTATTATTTGCAAACATTTACACACCTTTCTTATCAATTGCAAATTTTTATAGAAACTTTTTTTATCTTTAGTTCCAGGTGTTCAACCTTCTGCTGGTAAATTTATGATTTAAAAATGTTTCTTAATGATTATTGAATTTATGTTTATATTTATATACACTATTTAATGCATTAGTGTTGTGTTATCCCTCAAAGTGCAGCAGAATGAAATTATTACTCTCATTAATATTGTTTAAGTTATCATTGATTAATACGTTGTTCATATTATTTATTCAGCCTATCACTTTTGCAATTAATTGTTTTATATTAAATTTTACATAATGCCATTCAGTACTAATCTATTAACGAATCATTGTTATTTAGAGCTAACCTATCAATACTACCTATTATATAGGTCCCAGCATCCTGGACCCACCAGCAATAGTAAATTTAAGCGATGGGTCCGGTTAGGAGAAAGGGACAATAATTCTTTTAAATGGCCCTATCATCCTCCTAACAAGGGTGCTGGGAGCCGCAGCAGAAGGGGAGGTGGTCGACGTCGTGGAAGTGGAGGAAGCAGAGGGAGAAGAAGGAATGGTGGCAGCCTAGTGGCTCATGGAGATTATTACATTTATTAGGCACCACCATTCCTTTTTTTATTTAATATATATTTAATTTCTGCAAGTTTATTTTCCGTTTTTTCCCAATTTATACAATTATCAACATTTGCTTTATATTTTTTCAAATTTTTACCCAAAAAAATTTAAAAGCAAAACATTGTAATAGTCCCAATGAAATACTTTTTACACTTTTAAAAGTTGTATTTTTATAAACTTGTAAAGTATATAAGATATATATATATATATATATATATATATATATATATATATATATATATATATATATATATATATATAATATACTGTTCCCATTAAGGTAACTCTTGCCTATATATATATATATATATATATATATATATATATATATATATATATATATATATATATATATATATATATATAGGCAAGAGTTACCTTAATGGGAACAGTTAAGGAATAATTATTTATTAACCTAAGATGGCTTTTTACTAACTAATGGAAAGTTTTATGGTGTTGAATTTGTGAAAATGAATGATGTTTTACAAAATAATGATTTATCAAGCTTTTTTAACTATCCATGTGATTTAAAGAGTTTGAATATTTTTTATATTAAAAAATTTTTATTAAATTTTTAAAGATTTTTCTTGTAAAGTTGTATAAAAAAGAATTTGTGCATGCTCCTTTAGTCCATGATATTGGTTGGTAGAAGGATCAACATAAAAATTTAGCAAATTTTAGCAACTGTATAATGTATCATTACGTACAGTTTAAAGTTGTATTTTTCTGTTAGCTATTTTACATGAACAAATTTTTAATATATGAGTATTTTTCTATTTTTTTTTCTACTATACTTTTCCAGTTGAAAAAGTATATTAGGGCAAGCAAAATGTTCATTCGAGCTTTTTGGATTGAAAATACAGAGAAATAAAGAGAGAAAATTTGATTGATAATTTTTTGTGCTGGCCATCATGGTTAAATGTAATAAATTGTTTGAATGAAATGCATAAACCACAGTCTAACTAATGCAGATTTAAGCTGCTCAAAATTTAATATCATGGAGATAATGTAATTTTTTTTATATAAACGTTAAGTTATTCCTTTTTTCCTTGTTTTTTTAACATGTTTTCATTCTGTATATGTTATTTTCAGTGTTTAGATATATTCTTTATTATATATTCTTTATTATATGATGTATTTAAAACATTTTTAAATTGAATGAATGTTTTTAGATCATGAGTTATGTGATAAATTTGAATTTGCTACTACTAGTGATATTCAGATAGAATCAGATTCAGAAAACGGTAACTATTTTAAATGATACTTAATTCAAGTATTATTAGTTTTATTTTGATATTAAGTTTTATAGGAGCCACTACCATGCTTAAGCAAGAAAAAACATAGTAACCAACAGAATAGTAAGCAAATACCTACTCTTGTAACGCAAAAAAAAAAAACAGAAAACAATTTTTTTTTTGCATACTCCACATACTGTAGCTCAAGGTATTAATTGTCTGTCTGCAAGCTGATTTAGGAAGAAAAGATTCTGAACATTTTTTTCTATTCTTTAGTGATTTACACATTTTATTGGTTGCTAAATTAATACATTTTATTTAATTTATGAATAATGTTTTATTTTATAAATATTTTGTTCTTGTGTTTCAACGCTTATAGAAATTAATTTATGTTTGGTTCTTTTGTCTTTCTGATATATCTTTATTGTTAGAAAGAAATGTTAGTAAAAACTCTTTCCAGTAATTAAAGTAATATCATGACAAATAGTTCTGAAATTCTATGGATGAACTTGCAGCAGTAATTTAATGATTATGATAACAGTTTAAATGATTCTTGGGTGAGGTCAGAAGTGATGGGTTGTTTCAAACCATGACTTTTTGCAGTTTTTTTATTGTTTTTTGACAAAGTATTTAATAATAACTTAGCCTAAGTTAATCTACTTGTAACTTTTTATAAATGTACTATAAAAATAATGTGGTGTAATTATTTTCTTAAACCTTTAGGTTAACAAACTTTCTAAAATTAGAGGTAAAACCATTAAGATAAATACAAAAAAAATGTGATGCAAAGGTTTGTTAAAAGTAGTTTAAATAAAAAATCTTTTGAATCTTTTTTTATAGTGTGTTTTAAACTTGTGTTAAAAATATGTGTAGCATATATTTTTAAAAGCTTGACGAATTCTAATCAGACATAAAATAATTTTTTTTTTTTATGTCCGATTATAATTTTTTTTGTAACTTTTTTCTCCTACTTTTGTATTTCCTTGAGCTAAAGAACAACCTTAAAGTACAAAGGTTGATTTGTAACGCATACTTAACCTTTTTTTTTACTCTATTTATACATACATATATATGTACATAAATAAACATACATAAATATGTATGTATATATACATACAAATGCTTATATGAATATATATATATATATATATATATATATATATATATATATATATATATATATATATATATATATCCTTATAGTGTAGTCGAAAGAGACTTTTATGGTAAAAAAAAGTCTCTTTCGACTACAATTTTAATTACCTTGGCTCTTAAGCTGTATTTGATTGTCATCGAAATGTCAAAGCAATTAAATTAATGCGGAAGTACATTAAATTTTATTGTTTTTTAAAAAAACCGCAATAATAATGACTAGAAAGTTTTTTTAATTAATAGTGTTTTTGTTTTTGTTTTATTAAAAAAACATTTTTAAAACAAGCGTAAGTGTTGCTACATTGACTATCTTTTAGCCTGCTGCTACAAGGGAGTGTTGCTACATCGACTATCTTATAGCCTGACTCGCAAGGGAGTGCTGCTACATCGACTGACAAATAGCCTGACTCACAACAGAGTGCTGCAACATCGACTGACAAATAGCCTTACTCGCAACGGAGTGCTGCTACATCGACTGACAAATAGCCTGACTCGCAACAGAGTGCTGCTACATCAACCGAGGATTTGGTTTGGGCATGCAAATTATCATTTAAAAAAAAAAAAAAAAATTTCTGAAGTTTTTTAACATTTTCTGGTCAGGCTTATTAACGCGCTCTTTAAAACTACAGTTTATGGAAAAAACTTTGTGACTACCATGCAAGAGTATATATATATATATATATATATATATATATATATATATATATATATATATATATATATATATATATATATATATATATATATATATATATATATATATATATACATGTGTATATATATATATATATATAAAATAATGGTGCAATTTAAAGTTTTTTCTTTGATTTATAAAGTTGTACTTGATAAAAATAAATAAATAAACTTGAACATTTTGAATATTTATTAATTATTATGATAAATTATATAAAGTATGAATATTTTGCAAAAACACTTTTATTTGCAATAACTGCTTCATTGTATTGTGGCATGCTTGCAATTTATTTTTTATAGTTTCTGTCAACTCTGGGTTATTATGCCAGATCTTGATAATCTCTTCCATAAGATCTTGCTTACTAGTAAGATTTTTTTTTCCAATCTCTTGCTTTACTATTTCCCAAATATTTTCAATGGGGTTAAGATCATGCGAGTTGTCTGGCCATAGCAATACATCAACTAAGCCATAACAGTTTTTATTGTGTGGCAAGTTGCACCATCTTGCATTAATATAAGATTTTTGACATTATTTTTTATTATTTTTAAATTTTTTTGTCAATTTTTGATTTTTTTGGCTGGACATCAATCCCTCTTCTTTTATCTTTCTACAAATGGTCCGGTTTGACACAACAATTACAGCTTCATGGATAAGCTTAGTGGCTTTTTTTCTGTTTTCCAGGCAGATATTTCTGATTATACTGTCCGCTCTTGGTGTTTTCTTGCATTTAGAAGGTGGTCTCCTTGGGCCAAACTCTTCCCCTGTATCAATTTTTTTTCTTACTTGCATTACGGTTTGGTAAGAAACCTTTGCGGTTTTTGCAATTTTTCATTGAGAATTATTTGTATTTTGTAAAAGACATGTTTATCAATTTTTAATGTAACTATGACAATGTATAATGCAGGTTGTTGACCAATGGTTTATAATCAAAATTTAATATGGCTGGCGGTAAAGGTAAAGAGAAGTTTAAAGGAACAAAAATTAGGTATTTACTTGTAAGTTAAGTGTAAAATTATATATTTTTTAAAAATCACAGTTCGTTTTTTAATGCTATTTTATTTTTAACTTTTTGATGTATTTGATGCAAATTACTCAGGCAATACCTTTTTTTATAGAGAACGTTTTGTCAATTAAAGTGACTGCTAAAGTTGCCGAAATAAGAAAATAAATAATGACTTTATTAAAATATGCACTCGACAGATCAAATGGTGGTGGTCGGCGCGTAAAAGGCGATTCACCCGATCTATAACATTCATACTTTTTCCTAGTTGTTCTGGAACTATTGATAATAGTTATTATTGATAAATTAATAAATATATTACTGATAAATAAAACTTTTTTTTTACAAACATTTTACTTTATTTGCATTGTATATAAAGTCCGTTGAAGCAATTTAGTTGTATCTGAATAATTTGCGTGAAATATAATATTCTTCGCGCAAATTGTGGCTTTTTTATTGTGTTTATTGCAGTTAAAGTTGAGAAAACAAAAATCAACGTTGATTTTACGTTGTTTCAACGTTGTTCTAACGTTTTATCAATTACGTATCAATCGAATATATCACCTATTCAAAGTTAAAATATGGTTGATATGTAGTCGATAAGACGTTAGATCAACGTTGAAACGACGTAACCATCGACGTTGTTTCAACGTCGTAGTTTTCGACGTCGGATTTTTTTTCCAATTCAACCAAATTTCAACGTTGTTTAAACGTGGCATATGGTCGGTTTTCGACGTTGTTTCAACGTTATTTCTACGTCATTGTGCCTGCTGGGTTAAACTAAGAAAAATTGGTTTTATTATGTCTCTTACAACAATGGGTAGTCCTGGTTTTTTCTTTATACAGGGCTGTACCATTTATTTTATCAGACTGGTATTTACACCAACTTTCAGGGGTTTTTGGACACATTTGGTGGCGACTATCTAATGTAAGTGCATCTGAGAAGTGGTGAAGTACTGCATCAATTGCTTTTTTTAACTGGTAATCTGTTCCACCACTATATTGATGTACTGCAATTCCAAAATAATTTTGAAGTTTATTAATTTCTTTTTCAGTAAGACGATTTTTTTCCACCAAGTGGTTTCCCATCAGACAA